TGGAAAGGGGAGAGAGTGTGGGCATGACAGCCAACATCAGAGGGGCATGCTCAGAGGTTGGACCATGCTTTGGGGGAAGAAATAACCTGTTAAGAAGTGACCCTAGATTCCTTATGGTTTGTTCAAACAACAACAAGTGGTTCATTCAAGGTACAGGATGTTCCCCATCCTTGGTTTTTAAAAGCACATGGTGATGGGGGAGGCAGCATAGCTGTGGTGCTCAGGAGGTGTGGATTCTAGTCACAGCTGTGCCCCTGATTTGCTGGGTGTTTTTAGGCAAGTTGTGTAACCTCTTTGTCTCAGTTTATGTCTGTAAAATGGGAGTAATGGTTACCCACTTTTGTAAAGTGCTTTGAGATCTCTGGATAAAAAGCACTACCTACTTACAAAGTATAGTTATTGTATTTAATTACTGTCTTTAATTTAATAGTTATTGTATTTTATTAAATAATGTGTTTTCTCCAGGGAAGAACTTACTGCAGCATCTGATCTGCATCAGCATCTGATGTTTCCAGTGAGGTTCAAAATTTTCCCAGTTATATTTACTGATGGACAATGTTAAGTGTCCTTAGGGGAAAATCTTTACATTTTACAAAAAACCCCAACCCCAAGAAAACACTCCCTCTTACCAAGACACGGCCAGTTCAGTCCTTGAGCACTTCACTTATATGTTTACCTCTTTCCAGATGCCTACTTAGGCCTGGTCTATACTGGGAATGAAAACATCCTGTTAGAGAATGTGTTGACTAACACAATGTTGCTGCTATTAATTAATTAATTAACTTATTTATTTACTTACTTATTTACGAACCAACCATAACACATAGGTGCCATAGGCATAGAATAGGACCTCACTGTGTTACATACAGCTTTGTCCTTAGTGTGAACAAGGACAGGTATGTTTAAAAACATGAGCTGGTCAGGGTTAGTTCCCCATAGGATTAACCATGATGAGTTAACACATTTTTTAACACAACTGTCCTTGTCCACACCAAGGGTAAAACCATGTTTAACATCATGTTAGTTAAGACATGTTAGTTAACATGCTAACATGACACTTTTTTCCCAGTACAGTAATAATAAGAATACCTATTTCTTATATAACACTTTTCATCAGTAGATCTCAAAGTACTTCACAATCTGTAATGCAGTTATCCTCTTGTGAGGTAGGATGCATTATTATCCCCGTTGTGCAGACGGGAACTGAGGCACAGCGAGACTGAATGACTTGCACAAGGTCACACAGGATGTCTGGGCAGAGCAGGGGATTGAAAGCAGATCTTCCACATCCTAAGCCAGTGCCCTAATCACTGGACCATCCTTTCCCATATGGGCTAGGTTGTGCAACCCATATTCATCTTGGTGAACACCTCCTAACTGGAGGAGTCAGACAGACTTTGAAGTCACTAGGGCTGCTTGCATGAGCAAGTGTTCACCTGCTTGAGAAAAGGTTGGACAATCAATCCCTATATGTTAGGAAAATGCTTAGCATATTGTGTGGGTGCCAGTAAAATAATATCTATTAAGGAAGATCATCTTACACAGGGGGTCCGTGAGTGGCACGAGAGAACTGGAATCCCTGGTTGGACGACCAGGCCCAAGTTCCTCCACAGAAGACCATATCTACTACCCCCCTTCCACATACACGAGCCCCGTTGACACAGATCACAGAGCATAGCCCTAGTACTTATAATCCAAGTGACAGACAAAGGGAAATCGGTCACCTTTGTGCATGTGGCCTGGAACTGGCCATTCCTCAGTTAGCCAGGGAGATATCCACACTCTGCAATGACCATTCTTCAGGCCCCAAAGTCGCAGAAATGACCTTACCACTGCACAAAGAAACTCTGATGTCACTGGAGTTGATAATACCCCGGTATGTTCAGCATGAACAGGTGCAGTTATGGGGAAGCCAGCTTGAGTGTTTTAGGGTACATCTACACTGCGATAAAAAACCCTGCGACAGCAAGTCTCGGAGCTCTGGGCAGCAAACTCAGGCTCATGGGGCTTGGGCTACAGGGCTGTTGAATTGCATTGTAGACATTTTGGCTCAGGCTGGAGCTTGGCCTCTGAGACCCTCCCCCCTCATGAGGTCTCAGAGCCCGGGCTCCAGCCCAAGCGCCTACACTGCAATTTTATAGCCCTGCAGCCTGAACCCAAGGCAGCTGACCCAGACCAGCCACAGCTGTGCAGCAGGCATTTTATCTCAGTGTAGACATAGCCTTAGTTTCCCCAGCATGGCAGGGCTTAGGCTCCATCCTTCAGCCTGATGGCTAGGAGAAGCACTGATGGAATCTTCATCCTGCTGTATGGGCAGGGGCAGCCTTCCCCCAGCAGCTGGCTGAGAACAGCTGAGATGAAGGCTTATGGGCAGCTGCAACACTGAAGAGACCTTCACTCTGCAGCGGGGTTGGGGACAGCTGATATGTTTGGCTGCTCAGGAGCAGAGGCCCCTGGTGGGTTGAGGACAGCTGAGACGGATTGATGGACAGAAGCGGCATTGAAGATGCTTTTGCCCTTCAGTGGGGTTTAAAACAGCTGAGTTTGATGGACAAACAGGAATTGTTCTGCGGAGGCTTTTGCCCTGGATGGAGAAAAGCACTACAGAAGATGTTTTCACCCTCCATTAGGTCTGCCCTACACTAGGTCTGAGAATGCCTGGCCCAGATGGAATGATGGGAGCAGCAATGAAGGCCCTCTCCGTGCAATGGAGCTGGGAGGAGTTGATACAGATGGATGGACAGAGTAGGGCTGAGGGGACCTTTACACTTAGTAATGTTGAGAATGGCTGATCTGTATGGACAGACAAGAGCGATGCTGAAGAGCCCTTTGGCCTGCAGTGATAGCACTAGCTAACACCACAGACCCAGCGCAGGCTTCTCTGACGCAGCTCTGCTAATGCATGTCACTTCTAGAGCGCTCCCTGCTCTTCCAGTCCTGGGTTTCACATGGTTCTGCCAGCATACCTCAACTGCAACACTCCCAGAACACCTCAGTCCTGACCTGCAGCTCTTTCTGCTGGTTGCCGTGCTGGATGACTCAGCAGTGCTAACGCATCTCAGATGTGACCTACTGCTCTTCTACTACTAAGGGATGACCACTAATCATGGGACCTGCATCCTCTTAGGATCAGAAATCACCAAACTCATTGCAATTGTTGTCAGGTTGGACTGATTCCAGCAGCTGTCTGCCATCTTTGTCAGTCTCGCTGCGTTCTAAACAGCTAAGCGAGATAGAGGAATGCTTGGGCTTCAGTGTTAGAGACTCCGCTCCAAAGCAGGAAGAGTTAGCCAAAGACTCAAAAAGTAATAGCAATTTTTTTTTTTAAGTACATCAGAAGCAGGAAGCCTGCTAAACAACCAGTGGGGCCACTGGAAGATCAAGGAAGGACGATAAGGCCATTGCGGAGAAACTAAATGAATTCTTTGCATCGGTCTTCACGGCAGAGGATGTGAGGGAGATTCCCAAACCTGAGCCATTCTTTTTAGGTGAAAATCTCAGGAACTGTCCCAGATTGAGGTATCATTAGAAGAGGTTTTAGAACAAATTGATAAATTAAACAGCAATAAGTAACCAGGACCAGATGGTATTCACCCAAGAGTTCTGAAGGAACTCAAATGTGAAATTGCAGAACTACTAACTGTAGTTTGTAAAAGCAGCAAAGAGTCCTTATAGACTAACAGACGTATTGGAGCATGAGCTTTCACCCACGAAAGCTCATGCTCCAATACGTCTGTTAGTCTATAAGGTGCCACAGGACTCTTTGCTGCTTTTACAGATCCAGACTAACACTGCTACCCCTCTGATACTTAACTGTAGTCTGTAACCTATCATTTAAATCAGCTTCTGTAACAGATGACTGGAGGATAGCTAATGTGATGCCAATTTTTAAAAAGGGCTCCAGAGGTGATCCTGGCAATTACAGGCCTGTAAGCCTGACTTCAGTACCAGGCAAACTGGTTGAAACTATAATAAAGAACAATATTGTCGGACATATAGATGAACATAATTTGTTGAGGTAGAGTCAACATGGTTTTAGAAAAGGGAAATCATGCCTCATGAATGTACTAGAATTCTTTGAGGGGGTCAACAAGCATGTGGCCCAAGAGGATACAGTGGATATAGTGTACTTAGATTTTCAGAAAGCCTTTGATAAGGTCCCTCATCAAAGGCTCTTACCAGAGTAAACTGCCACAGGATAAGAGGGAAGGTGCTCTCATAGATTGGTAACTGGTTAAAAGATAGGAAACAAAGGGTAGGTATAAATGGTCAGTTTTCAGAATGGAGAGAGGTAAATAGTGGTGTCCCCCAGGGGTCTGTTCTGGGACCAGTCCTATTCAACATATTCATAAATGATCTGGAAAAAGGGGTAAACAGTGAGGTGGCAAAATTTGCAGATGATACAAAATTACTAAAGATAGTTAAGACCCAGGCAGACTGCAAAGAGCTACAAAAGGCTCTCTCAAAACTGGGTGACTGGGCAACAAAATGGCAGATGAAATTTAATGTTGATAAATGCAAAGTAATGCACATTGAAAAGCACAATCCCAACTATTCATATAAAATGAGCTGTTACCACTCAAGAAAGAGATTTTGGAGTCATTGTGGATAGTTCTCTGAAAACATCCACTCAATGTGCAGTGGCAGTCAAAAAAGCGAACAGAATGCTGGGAATAATTAAGAAAGGAATAGATAATAGGACAGAAAATATCATGTTGCCTCTATATAAATCCATGATATGCCCACATCTTGAATACTGTGTGCAGATGTGGTCGACCCATCTCAAAAAAGATATATTGAAATTGGAAAAGATTCAGAAAAGGGCAACAAAAATGATTAGGGGTATGGAACGGCTTCCGTATGAGGAGAGATTAATAAGACTGGGACTTTTCAGCTTGCAAAAGAGATGGCTAAGGGGAGATATGATTGAGGTCTATAAAATCACGACTGGTGTAGAGAAAGTAGATAAGGAAGTGTTGTTTACTACTTCTCATAACACAAGAACTAGGGGTCACCAAATGAAATTAATAGGCAGCAGGTTTAAAACAAATAAAAGAAGTATTTCTTCACACAACGCAGTCAACTGTGGAACTCCTTGCCAGAGGATATTGTGATGTGCAAGACCATAACATGGTTAAATAAAGAATTAGATAAATTCATGGAGGATAGGTCCATCAATGGCTATTAGCCAGGATGGGCAGGAATGGTGTCCCTAGCCTGTTTGCCAGAAGCTGGGAATGAGCGACAGGAGATGGATCACTGTTCATTCCCTCTGGGGCACCTGGCAGTGGCCGCTGTCGGAAGACAGGATACTGGGCTAGATGGACCTTTGGTCTGACACAGTAGGGCCATTCTTATGTTCTTATGCAATGCTGTTTCTCCACAGGTAAAATACAAAATAGAGGCCTTAGTATTAAGAAAACTGATATAACCATTCAGTGACTACATCTACCCCTAATCTAGGGCTCAGGCTCAGTGCTGAGAGAGAGACAAGTCCCTTAATCAAATACCAGGCCGTCTCCTGGAAGATCAGAGGGGGAAACTGATAAAGCAGTCGCGATTCACATCTGGAAGCTGTGCAGAGACTGACCATGTTTGTTTGGCAGCTGGAGAATGATATAGCTGTGACTGGGAAGGGGAAAGGGATCCCTAGTGCAAGAAATCCAGGGGATTAAAAAGCATTTCTTCATCGAGCAATTAAATAAGATATGAACTTTACATCTCTATAATGTCCACATTTCATCCCAAAGGATCTAAAAGCACAGTAGAGGCTCGGGCCCCAGGGTAAGCCAATGGAAAGGTTCCCAGTGTGGAAAATCTGCGAGGAACCTCACAAGATATTCACAGTTCTCACTTGCTCAAGGACTGGTATCCTCCAGCACTATGTCAAAAGTGGGTGGCCCTGGCCGGGGAGGCAAGGGTCATGTGTATTTTTCTCTCTTCCTTCCCTAAACGCAGAATCCTATGCAGCAGATAAAGGGATCCCATGATGTTTACCAACAGAATTAGGAGGTATTCTTGTGTGGAAACTCACTCCAGTCCTGGGAAAGATGATTTCCTCTCTGCTGTCAACATCCCTTTTCCCTTCTCATTCACCCTCCCTTAGCACATATTTCTCCCCCCTCTATACATCCTCTGACGTCCTCAATAACTAACTAGTGAGAGTGTGCCGGGAACTGGTAGGTGTAGAGGGGATCACTTGACCCAAGACCAGCAGGCCAGCCAAAATTCTGCCCCATTTGTCCATGAGCTAGTTCCAGTGAACCCAGCTCTTTGTGCTAAGGAAAGAAGAAGGGATGGTCTCATGTTCACATTAGTACATGCAACTCATGCTTACTGGTATTGGCTTCGTTTCAAGCGATTAACTCTAGGGCACATTCCAAGGCCCTCATTCATTTTTTTACTTAGGCACATCTCCCATGGCTTCAGAGACAAGTTTGTCCAAGTAAATATTGGGTAAAAACTGAGTGAGGACTAAGAGCTTGGCCCATTTGCTTAGTTGGGAGTTCTGCCTAAGTAAACTCCTGGGGGCCAGATTATGGGTGGCCCTTGCATGGGTGACTACATAAGGAGCCTACCCTGTGTGTCAATTGCAGGAGTGCAGGGCCTGCCCCTCTGCTGTGTCCCAGCAGGTGTATGTTGCCCCACAGGAAGTGAAGCAATAGAGCTATGCCTGGGCCTGTTCTCCTCACCCTTTGCATTGGCTTGCAAAGTGCGCTGAGCACATTGGGGGCAGCAAGCTGAAGTATCCTAGAAGATGGGGCAGCCTACCCAGGCCCCCTGCCTGCTGGGGTAGGGAGACACCCTGCCAATTCCAGGGCAGTGGCTAAATGCCACTATTTGGCCCTCAGTGAAGACCTCAGGATTTGTCCCTCAATTAGTGTTCCTGGTTTTTTGTTGTCTCTCCCCTCCCAGACACCTGTGACGGGAATGTAAAACAACACCTTCTAGATCTTACAATGAAACCCTAAGGTCCAAGATCTAATTTGTGCTCACTTCCCACCACCACCCATCTTCCAGTTAGAACATGGACTGGAAAATATGATAATATCTCTCCTCCCAGACACAAATTACCACTAACCCCGCCCCCTTCCCTTTTTGAACAGGCCTCAGTGAGAAAAGGGGATATACCATAGCCACCTATCACTCCCCCTAATCAACCGCCTATCTTCCCCATCTACACCAGGGAACTCCACTCACATGCAGGAAGAGGTTCTCCGATGCCACCACCATTCGGAAGGCACTGTGCTCATTGATCAATCTGTCTGTCCTTGGAGTCTTTCTATGCTTTTCAAATGTGCAAACACAGAACCAAGTCATCCTCTCCAAACACTCCAAATGCCAGAAATCAAATCTCCCAGCATTCCCTCCACTACTTCCCACACCAAGACACGCAACTGAACCACAGAACATGAGAGAGGGGAAGACAACAAACAGCCTGCTGTGCAAAAAAACAAGAATGACAACATTCTAGGAAGGAGAAAGGTATGCCCCTGCTCCTTCTCCCATACACACACACACACAGAGGATGTGCCACATGCTTTGAAGACAGGCCTACAGTAAAGTCAAGGGTAGCTGGGACGGGTTGTAATATCCAGACAGTGGGAGGAGTAATTCACAGATTACTTTCGTGGTTCTCCTCTGTCTCGGCGGTCACTGGGGGGAGCCCCCCGTTGTCATTCAGCCGCTTGGCCCTGTAGGTCTCATAGTGGATGTTGTGCGTCACTTCTTTTAGGTCTTGGAGGTGGGTCCTGCAGGAGACAGAGAGAAGGAGGATAAGAAAAATAATCAGCTAGGTCAATGTTATTCTTTCTGGGTCTATTTTATTTCCTAAGATAAATGGGACAGTTTCTCCAGTCTGGCTGGCCAATGAACATTCGGAAGGCACTGTGCTCATTGATCAATCTGTCTGTCCTTGGAGTCTTTTTTATGGAGGCCATAATACATTAGCCAATTGAAACTGCATCAGTCAGCAAAATAAAATAGGCACACAGGATATGTCACACTGGCTCCGATCACTGGCCTCACCAGTGCAGTATGCTATCTCCTGCTACACCAGATCAGACCAATCAATGGTCCATTGAGCCAGCTATTCTGCATCCTGCTGTATCAGTTAAGACATCTGGTTCATCAGTCTTCCAGCAGCAGTTAATACATGATGCGTCAAAGAAGGTAAAACTTCCCCATGATCAGGGCTGGCTCTGGCTTTTTGGCCGCCCCAAGCAAAAAAAAAAAAACCTGCGGCACAGCCGGAGCCAGGGTGCAGGGGGACTCCCTGCGTTGCAGATGTGCCCCAGCTAGCAGGGGGAGGGGCAGGAAGCGGGGGTGGGGGGAGAGAGAGAGAAGAGGGGTGGCCAGGGCTTCAGCAGGGGGCTGCCACGCGGCCCCGACTGCTGCGCCGTCTGCTGGGAGGCTCCGCGCCACTCCGGTCGGCTGGGAAGGAAGGACGAGGACTGCCCTGCCAGGCTTGCTGCAGGGCACTCCCGTCCTCCGCGCCACCACCCCCTACAGGGCGGCCCGAGCGAAACAAAAAAAAAAAGCGGCCGTGCTGCCCTAGGATTGGGCGGAATGCCGCCTCGAACAATCTGCCGCCCCAAGCACCAGCTTGCTCGGCTGGTGCCTGGAGCCAGCCCTGCCCATGATGCATCTGGTCAGTTGTGCAGTGGAGCCCAGAGTAGCTGTGCTGTTGTCACCAGCCCCCCGGAAGAGTCCCCAACAGCCACAACTCCTTCCAACCAGTCATTAACCGCCAGAAAACGCCTGGGCTTTGACCACCATTGTTTAATGACCACCTTTTATTGAAAGATCTGGGGAAAGCCCAACAGTGACAGCTAGATGGTACCAGCATTAGGAATTTGTTGTGAGGGACAAACAATGCAATATTGTAATGTCACCATGACATCACTGTGTCACAATCTGAGGTTTCATCACTCCCAGATGCCAAAACACCATGACAACAGGAAGCATACAGGGGATTGGTTTTTAACTTTGATGTATATTTACATTGGGCTTCTTAAAAATACCTACTTTGTTAGTCTATAGGGCATAGAGATTACCTTCAAACAGGGGTGCTGAAAGCCATTGAACCAAACTGTAAACCCTGGATATGATGGAAACCACTTCAAGCCAGGGGATGCGGCAGCACCCTTGGTCCCATAGTTCCATCGCCTTCAAACTATGGGACTTGCCCACAGAATCTCGGCCAGATGTCAGTTCTCCTGAAAGGGCTTCAATCCATATATGAACTTGAGAGAAGGGGGACTGGAGATTGGGGATATGGAGCTTTTTATCTCTTGGTCAATTCTAATCCATCCCCAAATCAGGAGGACTATATGGTCTGAGAATTGGAAATGGACTGAAGAGTCTTTCCCTCTTTGTCACTGATTCCAACTCAGCCCTAAGTCAGGAGCAACTAAAAAGTGTTCCCATCTATTGTGTGTTTGCATAATGGGGCAGGGGGGAGGATATCACTCCAGTTCCTTGTCACACAGGCCATTCACATCACCCAAGCACCATCACAACTAACCCCCTTGTTGGCATAGCAATCATAGACATTAAAGATCAGCTAGGTTGCCCTGTCCCTTAGTTCCCTATAGTAGTCAGCCCAGCTTGAATTGTCTTAAGAAATATGACTTTCATCCGTTTGGAGACTGTTCCATTATCATGGCTTTCGTCACTAGGAAATTCTATCTGAAAGTCCGTTAAGTACTGTAGCCCTTCTCATCAGGAATAGACAGTTACATAACCGCTGGCCTCACCTGATGACAAAGTCTCGAAGTAGGGCAAATTCACAGTGATTGAGGTTTTCCACTGTAAACAGAGAAAATTGGGAAATGGGGTGTTAAAAAAATCCTTCATTAGTACAGTGCATGGGATAATGGTCAAGACAGTGGGCTGACAGGCACAGATCTTATATTTCAAACAGGGCATACAGTGCTATATGTGCATAACATGCAGTCTATTGGGCTTGTCAGTTCTTAAAACCACAAGGGAGGGTTCACTTGAAAAGCGAGGTGACCTCATGGGCCCTAACGTGGCACCTTTCATATTCTAGAGTGGCAGCAATACCCTGCCAGTTGCTGATACCACAGTGGTAGCTCCAATTCCCCTCAGCAGAAGTGTTTGAAAATATCTTTGTTTTATTTTGATTAAAAAATATGTCTAACTATAGGTGCGAGGGGTAGTGCTCTGCTGCGTACCTGGAGCTTTGCGTGCCTGAGCCTAGGTAGATACATCCATCTCAAAAGGATGGACCTGTTTACCTTCAATGACGCCCCAGGGAGTTTTCCTGCCCAGGATTCTTTTGCCATTTACTTGGTATTCCTTGTCGCTGCCCACCACTGCAAACGGCATGCTTTCCTGCTGGAGATAGACAGGTAGACAAGCCTAGTCAAGCTGTTCCTCTGCGCACTAGACAACAATGAGATATGGGCTGTAGTACTACTTCTCTCTCTCCACCCTTCCCTGTTACCCTCTTCCCTCCAGCATTCGGTCTTCTGCAGGACAAGAGGCACTCATTGCCAATGACCATCCAATGACTGGCCACTGCAGACTATGACAATATCCCAAGCATTTCAACAGTTGTTTACAGCTGTTGCCAGAGCTGAGCCTGCAGAGGTTCCCAGTGATTCCGTGGGTTCTGCAGATGAGTGCAGTATTGTTCTAGGTGAGTCTTCAAATGTGACCGGCATTTTTGAATCATAGGAGTGATGAATATGGAGCTCTCTAAAATAATTTATTAATACCGTATGCTGGCCTGACTTTGGCCTGGTGTTTGCTGCACTCATATTTTGGTGTAAGTATTTCTCCCCAGGGGTCTCTCTGGGGTGGTTCCCAGAAGGAAAGAGGAGATGGCTCAAGATGGTCACCTATGAGTCCTAAAGGGACAATGCCAGAATTGTTCGCTCTGACAACCCTACTCAGTCTCCTGCCAGGGTATGAAACTTTCTCAACCAGACAGCAAAAGCCACCAACACTTGACCAAGCTCCTGCAAGTCAAAGAGCTCGGAAGTGTGTGTGTGTGTGTGTGTAGTGGGGGTGGGGAGGGGGGGAGAAAGGACACTGCAAGGGGGTGCATGAGATTGAAAAGACTCAGACACAGGAACCTATGGGGGTGTCTGAAGAAGCTAGGCCTACCTAGGTTTGGGGCCTACCAGTATGGGATGGTAGGACTCTAGGTAGGACAGATGTGCAGGAAGGCTGTTTGTTACTTTAAAATCCTATTTTTTTCTCTAGTGCTCCATTCCATGAGCTATATGTTGTTTTAAGGAGGCTGCAGGTCACTGTATCACTGGGTGATAAGAGGTTGCTATACATGGAGCATTGTACCCACGTCCCAGGCTCAGAGTGGAAGAATCACATGATTCCAACCCCGAGATAGATCTTTTGCCTGTACCTATCACCTGAGGAGATGCACTAAGGGAGTTTGTCTTCACTGCAGAGTTAACTTGGTCTTTTACTCAGGTGTTGCCCTTAACTCTCCTCCCTTCCAGACACAAAACTCTGTCACCCAAGTTTAGTGGTGTTTTCAACCCCAACTAGCTGTCCTGTCCTGGGGTATAGGCTAAAGCAGGGGTAGGCAACCTATGGCACCTGTGCCGAAGGCGGCACGCAAGCTGATTTTCAGTGGCACTCACACTGCCCAGGTCCTGGCCACCGGTCTGGGGGACTCTGCATTTTAATTTATTTTAAATGAAGCTTCTTAAACATTTTAAAAACCTTATTTACTTTACATACAACAATAGTTTAGTTATATATTATAGACTTATAGAAAGAGACCTTCTAAAAATGTTAAAATGTATTACCGGCACGCGAAA